CCCCCCCCCCCCCCCAGTGAAAATTCCTTAAAAAAGGCACTGAGGCCCAGACACGCGTCTGGAGGTCAGATTTGGTTGGCTTCAAGAAAAAGATGGCAGTTTATCTGAATGTAGCATTCCAGTTATATTCATTTCGATGCACTGAATTGAATATTCAGTTAATTAAATTCAGTTCACTGGTGCATCACATATTGACGATGGACTGATGAAAATCTAATATAGTTGTACAACATAAAGTATATGCATTGCGGTTTCGCTGATCAGACAGACGTGACAAAAGTGAAAAATTTTGAATAATGAATGTTTTAAGGAATTTCAAGCTTTTGCCTGTAAATATTGTTAATGAAATAATATTCAAAAATTCAGTCAAGTCAAATTAGCTGTTATTTATGCAAAAATACTTATCAAAAACGCAGGAATGCAGCCTTTAATAGGCATTCAGAAATAATACCAAAAACAGGCCCTGTCCACTGTCCCACGATTTTCTTAAATCTGAGGAAACTTTTATCGATAATCTAAGGAATTCTTGACAATGGATGCGAGAGCACTGATTTTGAAAGAACAAAACAAGTATTATTCTCACAAAGTCGAACAAGTTTCATTGCTTGAATTGCTTTGCTAGTAAAAACTTAACTTCCATAAAATATGGAGCGTTTTAATTACCCCACAGTGCGTAGAGATTCAACAATAATAGACGATTATCATGGCAAGAAAATAGCAGATCCATATGCTTGGCTAGAAGACCCTGACTCTCAGGAAACTAAGGAATTTGTTGAGAAACAAAACGAAATCAGTTCACCCTACTTGGAGAAATGTGAATTCAAGGAAAAGTTCAAGGAACGGTTAGTACTAAGTTGCAAGATCGATTCGTGTTCGACTGAACGTCTAGAATTAAACATTGTCGTGTCACAAATTAATGCTTTAAAAAATTTAAAAGGCACGTGTTCTTTGTCCATAGATTACACACGCAAAAGTCTCACATCTTGTAGCAAGTCTGCCAACAAGCCGTCAACAAGTTGTGTTCGCACTGCTTGTCCCAAGTTGTCAACAAGTTTGGAACAAGCTGTTAACAATTTGTAACAACCTTGTTATCAGACTTGTTACAAGTTTGTTCCAGCAAGTCCGATACAGTCATGATATAACAGTATTGTTACAACCTTGTGTGGTCAACCTTGTAACATTCTTGTTATATCAACAACCTTGTAACAACTCTGTTAATGCCAGCAAGCTAATTGTTACAAGTTGTTAACAGCTTGTTCCAAACGTGTTACAACAACTGGGAACAAGCAGTGCGAACACAACTTGTCAACAGCTTGTGAACAGATTTGTAACAACTTGTTTGCAGACCTGTAACAACTTGTGCGTTTTTATGTGTGTAGTATACATGTGCCTTTTAATACACACACGTAAAAATTAACACACAAGTTGTTACAAATCTGTTCACAAGCTGTCAACAAGTTGTGTTCGCAATGCTTGTTCCCAGTTGTAACAAGTTTGGAACAAGCTGTTAACAACTTGTAACAAGCTTGATGCCATTATCAGACTTGTAGCAAAGTTGTTCTAACAAGTCCGATACAGTCATCATAAACAAGAATGTTACAAGGTTGATGACACAAGGTTGTAACAATATTGTTTTATCATGACTGTATTGGACTTGTTGTAACAACCTTTCAAACAAGTCTGGTAATATCAACAAGGTTGTTACAGTACAAGTTGTTAACAGTTTGTTCCAAACTTGTTGACAACTTGGGACAAGCAGACTGCGAAGACAACTTGTTGGTGGCTTGTTGGCAGATTTACTACGAGACTTTTGCGTGTGTATGCCGTGGTTGTTGAGACACCGGAACTTTAAGTTATATGGTTATGCATCCGACAAAATTGTTTTTCTCGTTCTTTAATTAAATATGCTAAAATTATACCGAGGGCCATTCCATTTAATATCCACCCCTCCTGTGGACGAGGTCTCTTATTTTAAACCCCTTCAGAAACGGTTTTCTGCCAATGCCCTTCAGAAATTCTTTAAATTTACCAAATACCCTCAGAAAAATTTTCTCAACCCCCTTGGAAATACACTTTTGGAAATCTTTCCATATTTTTCCACGACCCCTCCACCAAAAGCAAATTTCCATGAATTGTTAGTGACCCCTTTGGAAATTGTCAATATTTTCCTGACCCCCTCAGAAATTTTTCAGTTAAAATTCCCCTCGGAAATTGTGATTTTCAAGACTCTTGAGAAATTACAATTTTGGGGCCCCTTTGGAAAAGTGGAATTTTCTACCCCCTCGGAAAATTTCATCTATGTGGGGGGGGGGGCAGGTGTAGATATTAAATGGAATGTCCCCAAACCCACCAGACACAGGACATTGTTTCAATGTTGCAATTCGGTTGGAAAAAACATTGCAACGTCGCCACCTAACATCAGCGATGTCTTAGAAATGGGGTGTACCACGTAAAAGTTGTACGCTCCTGACTGTGCTGTCATTTATCATGTTGTTTGTGATTTTTTCAGAATGACAGAACTATGGGATTACCCAAAATATGGATGTCCATTCAAACGTGGGGGAATGTACTACTATTTCTATAACAGTGGTCTACAGAATCAAAGGTATGTCTTTTACCCAGATTATTTTACTCATCAAGGGGAAAGTGCTTCCAATTAATGGTTAATCAAAAGTGTTATAAAGTCTGATCGAATACAAACAATGAAAGTATAATATGGACGTGTAAACACTGACAATTCATTAATACACAAAAATGCACGTATCTGACAAACCTATATGCTACAAACCTATTGCAAATGCATCTTGTTGACAAGTTGTTGGAACAGCATTGTCGTAACTTGTTAACAAGCTTGCTACAAGCATATTGAGGAGACATCTTGTTGACAAGTTGTTGGAACAGCATTGTCACAACTTGTTAACAAGCTTGCTACAAGGTTGTTGAGGAGACATCTTGTTGACAAGTTGTTGGAACAGCATTGTCACAACTTGTTAACAAGCTTGCTACAAGCCTGTTGAGGAGACATATTGTTTGTTAACAAGTTGTTGGAACAGCATTGTCACAACTTGTTGACAAGCTTGCTACAAGCATATTGAGGAGACATCTTGTTGACAAGTTATTGGAACAGCATTGTCACAACTTGTTGACAAGCTTGCTGGAAATCTATTGCAAAACATCTTGTTGACAAGTTGTTGGAACAGCATTTTCACAACTTGTTAACAAGCTTGCTACAAACCTGTTGAG